ATTTCTCTCCAAACACCTTTTATAGACTCCACGCTTCTCACCTATACACTCCCAACTCCCTTATCAGTGTTTCCTATTATAAAGAAGAAAACTGAAGGAGAGTAAGAACCTTTTTCTTTCTCCAAGTAGTTTTTATTCTTATTCAGTTCACCCCAAAGGACTGATGGATGATAATGAAACATGCAAGAATTTTCACTAAAGGACACAAAGTAGATTGCTGTCATTTCAGATTGCTTCACTACTATTAATCTATTCATAAAGCACTTCTGGTTTTCGAAGACTTCCTCTGATAGTCTGAGTTGAAGGGCAAGTCCTGGAGTTTCCATCAACACTGGACCTCTTCTAAAATGCACAGGTATGAGGCATTCTCCACGTGTAATGAGAGACAAACACCAAGTTACTGGCAATAAACATTTCCATTTCTAGAGAATGTGAACATTTTTATTGCTCCTTTTGTGATACTGTTTCCTTTGACAATTTCTATCTACCAGCCTTGAGCAAGTCACCTCACCAGCAGGATCCATTGTCTGGCAGACTTCATAAGATGGGTCCACAGCCTTCAGGTTGGCTGTTTTCACTCAAGTGTCCTGCTGTCTCCCCAGTCATTGCTAAGCTGCCTCTTCACATCACCTTCTGTAGAGCACTCTCACAATTCACCTGGAGTTGTTCATTGCATTCCCCTGCCTCCCCCTCCTCCAAGCCACCCTCCTTTCTGCAATGTGAAAAATTGAGATTCACTGTAACAAAAGCATGGCTGCATGCTTCTTACACCATCCAAACAAATTACTTTATGGGGAAACTTGTACTTCAACACTGTACTTCAAGCATGTTCAGCTTTCAGTCACTTGTTTCTCACAGGAACCTTCACAGCTTCCTTTCCGTTCTGCAACCCACATCTTACAATCACGTATACAGTAAATACAGCCTAACAGCTTGGTTCCTTCATATCTTGGTGTCCCTAGTCCTCTCCATGAATGATCCTCACTGCAATCAGTGAGATTACTAACTAATTAAGGAGAACTCAGTGCATGTGAGCAGAAAAAAAATACTGTATAATTAAGTGGGTTTGATTTTTAGACTTTTGGGGGGTTTCCTGCAGGACCCGAATCAACCACAATAGCCATCACAGATGTCATTGATTGTCCACACCTTGCAATACACCACAAGTATCTTTTTGAAGGCAGTCACAGTCACTCAACAACAGGTAATCAAGTTACCTTTATTTAGAATAACCAGACTGCTCTTTCACTATTCAGGCCTACATATTGTTTACTGTTTTCCAGTATTTACAAAATCTGCCCCCAGCATTCCTTTGGATGCTGACCTGTTTAGAGAACAGGAAGCTTACTCTGAATTTATAAATCCTTATAATTTCCTCCCTCATCCTATTCGATTTATTAAGCATTTAGCCTTTGCTTGATGGTTTCTGTTTTTCAGCAAAAGCTTCAAAAGATAACGACCAGTGCAAATGTGAAAACCTCGTGACATTCCAGAACTATGCAACTAATGAAGTAAGAAAACTCATCGAGCGATATATCCTTTCAGAATACTTTTTACATTTAAGACAGGAAGGGGAGGTTAATAGAAACTATGACTTTAATGCATCAAGTCCAAACTGCATCCATAGCTCAAATCAATTTGCTGTCATGAAAATCTAAACTACATAATAGTTTCCAAGAAGCAAGGCCTTCAAGACTTGTAATCTGTCTCTCCTTCATAGAAGGGACCAAGATATTAATAAAAATCTTAAGTTTTAATAACCCCTAACAGTAAACACCTCCAGGGACAGCAAAGAAATGACTAGTCAAATTCAAGACTAACACTTGCTGCTTCTTCAGATGGTATTGAAATAGCATTTACTGGCTACAGGAGATGTTTCCCTTTTGAACTGCTTGGTGAGGCACCAGATGCAGTGAGTCATTTAAAATCATACTCCAGATGAAGAGGAATTCAGAAGACTGAGGTTTGATTAATTTTGCATCAAAAGAAATGCAGATAAAAATAAGCAAAGTGCAGATCAGTAGCTTCTGCCCCTTCCCCCTCCTCCTTAGTCTGTTTTTTCCAAGGGAAATGTTAGTGTAAAGGCTGCTGTACTATCTGTAACATCTACCACGTCTCAGCAGACAAGAGCAGCAAACTGGCAATACAATACATCATGCAGTATTTATGCACTATTTATGCAGTAAATTCCTGTTTTCTTCATGAAAGCTGCGTCTGTCTGATCAGAGAAGACATTACATCTTCTATTTAAGTTCTACAATTGAGTGCAAGATCAGTAAGCACTTATTTTCTGCACAGAAGAGTGCAGTGACACTAACAGTTCCTAATTGTGTGCTTGTTGTGCTCTATTCCACATCTGTCTGGAAACCACTGGCTTTGTAAAAACAGTACCTGACACTACATGACCATGGGGCAGAAGAGATCATCATCAGCAGCAGACATTCTTACTGCAGTCTCAGAGCTCCATAGAGTTTTATAATCTGTTAGTTACATGCAGTTTTCCATGTGATTAATTGGAACATTTTTTAAACAGCATTAAATAGGATATTTACCTTCCCTTTAAAATAGAGGAAAGCGATCAATAATCAGAACCACCCACCTTTTTAATAAGCTTCAGTATGAACTCAGTGTCAAGGTATGCCTGTTAATGAACAGAGCTTCACACAGCTTTCTCAACTCAGCTGATCAAACCAGAACACGAAAATATAGCAGAGTATTGTATTAGAACTACTGGAAGTCAAAGAGGAGAAACAAGAGAAAGTTTATGGACCAAAACAATCAGGCAGATGACTTTTCTATTAATGCATCTTAGCACTACCTCTCTTTCCTTAACATTTATGTACTCGAAGAAATGACGAAGAGAATGGAAGACTTGGAAAACAGGCTAAGATACTGACGAGAATTTAAAGTGTATGTTACACTGTATATTTATACATATAAACGTGTCAGAGCTATTTTCTTAAACTGGTTCAAAGTAAAATAACTAATCCTTTTGTCTGAAGTTGAAAAGAGTATTTTGGATCCCTGCATCTATATGCCATGTGTTGTCTTGCATTGATTGCAGATAAGAAATGTTGAAAATTTTATAAACAATTTAGTAACTAGCAAAAATCCTAATTAAGCAGAACTTAACTGAAATAAGCTATGCAAAATAATAAAATGCTGTTATTTTTTGAAGTGAAACCTCCATGTTTTGAAGTACTTTTAGGGTATGAATTCATTTATGGCTTTTCTGTATTTCCCTCCTCTACTCTGCTAACATTTTAAGCACCCAATCTGTGTGAATATATATAGTACTAGGTATACATACAGAGATAAAGAGAACCAGTGGGACAGCACTCACAGCCATTAGGTTTTACTTGGATTCTTCAAATGAGCAGACTACTGAAATCAGCTGGAAGTAAAAAATACAAATTTACACCTTTGCGTTCAAACTGTGATCAAAGTAAACACACAGAGGGGCAAGTCTGCTGGATTATCAGGGCATCAGAGTCTGAAATTTCCAGTACTTTTGCTCTTAGTGCGTCCAGACCATCCAACCTCTCCCTGCTGTCCCTTGGTCAGTATTCAGATTCTCTAACTTTCCTGAATGCAACTAATATTTTAATTATGAAAACATTCTTTGGTCAATACAGCTAGCTGCACACCTGTTTGTCAAACCAGCAAATTCCTTCCAGCCATTCTGGCCAGCTGCAGTGCCTTCAAGTTTCACTCTTTCCCATTGGCTGCAACTTATCCCCATCTGTGGTTTAATAGATAAAGACACCAGCACTTCCTCCTTTGCTTTGACGTGCACTGGTTTGCCTCTTTACTATCTCCAAATGGAAAGACACAACTTCATCCATTTTATAACAGAAGTAGTTGCAGCAGAACTTAAAGTGATCAAGTGATGAGCGTGCATGGATACGTAACAGCAAGCTTTGAAAGGTACCTTGTGCTTTTTGCACACTTTGGAATTCTGCAAGGTTGCAAGTACATACTGATTTTCATGAGGTGTTTCTTTTATCACTTGCCAGCAAAGCATTGGCACCTCAACAATCCCTAGTAATAAGGAACATCCTGCAGTTACGGTCCTGCACAAAACAGGCACAAATCTTTAAGATATCAGTGTTCTCAGCAATGATGACTTGAGAATACCAACTCATCTATCTCTTAACATCTTTGAAAACTAAAATAGAAGATACTAATTTAAAATCAGCTTTGCAATGTTAACTGGTATCTTACTGAAAGCAGTGTTACACATCTAGCAGCTATCCTGTTTGCCTTTTGACAGGTAGGTACTCTTGGAAGGAAAAGAAACAGAATAATGCACATTAGTACTCTGTGATTGGTTTGGTAACAATAGCGTGAATTATTTCAGTGCAAGCTGATCCCTTTTGGATCCCCCACCAATATCCCAAATTTGCTACTGTCCCTCATGTTATGCCTTGTTTTTGCATTAGCACTCCAAAACCAAACACTAAGGAAGGCCTAGCCAGCTGGGATTTGGCACCACTTGCCATTATCAAGCCTTCCTCCACTTACCTTTTAATTACCTCTCAAGATCCACACTTTCTACAGAAAGAAACAGGCAAGCTTTGTCCCATCAAGGTTATTTCTAACACAACACGAAACACAGCAGCGGTAATGAATCTTCATTTATATAGTTTGTTCCCAAAACCAAAAAAGGTATAATAGAAATTTTCCTTAAAAGATATCTGTAACCAGTTTTATTGTAGAAATAACACCTTTACAGCATTTACTTCTCACTGGTTTGTTCTGGCATGCTTCTAATGATGTCAGAGTCACCTGTAAAATAAAAATATATTGTTACAAAAGGACCCACAGAAGGTGCTTTCAGGAATAAGCCAAAAAGCAGGAAAATACCCCACCCATAAAAACACCACAATGATTCTAGAAAAAGAAAACAACTTAAAAGCAGTACAGAGAGTCTGTTTAGGAAAAAAAGCAAGTAACTGTATTTTTCTAATCCAAATACAGTATTTTTCCAGTAATTATGTAGCTGTTACTAGCATTTATAAAGCCAGTACTAGAGCAGCAGTCTAGTGCTGGAGGACACAATGCATAGTTTTACTCTAGCGAATGTCTAGCCTCCCCTGATCACAGCAATATCAGGACAGCGAGAATATTCGCATTAGGGTTGTTACACAGCAGCAGGATTTACTTGCAGCTCCCACCCCACCCAAAAGCAAACCTAAAAGTGACATTTTGAAAATTAGGTTTACAGCTACTATTTGAATACAAGCAAGCTAAATAAAGTTTTCTGAAGTAACAGTGAATTCAAACCAATGTCATTTGGGGAACATTTGGTGAAAGTTATTACAGAAACCATTAAACTCATGTGTATGTATTCTGGGCAACAAACAGAACAAGAGAGTGATTCTTCTCTTAGAACATTCTGGAAAGAGGCTGGCAAGTCACCTAATAAGCAGTCTATATAAGGAACTTGAGCAACTTTGTAGGACAAAGAGTGCCACCAAACCATAGAAATACACAAAGACTTTTAAAATAAAATGTTTACTATAATTTTCAATCCTTGATTAGCACCCATCTGCATATGGTTATTTTTGGATATATCGTTCTGGGAAGCAAAACAAGTCACAATCCTTTGGTTTTGATTAAGAACAGTCAAACAGGGCTGATGTAAACAGCACGTTGCATGAGCTCGTATCCAAGTTAATGGGTTCAGAAACATGTCCCATAAAGTTGCTTCCTAGGTACTGAAACCTCCCTAAGGATAGAGAAAATGCTCACAAGGTTCAGCAGTAAAAGGAGCTATGTACAAACAGAATCAGCAGTCCTTCCAGGTTCTAAGAACCTACGACTCACAAAAAAACAGGATCTTGGTCAAAGCAAATTAAGAATTAAACCTGATGGAAAAAGGCAAAGTGTGTCATCGCTCCTTCTCTTTACTTGCTCAGTGCTGCTGCTCACAGGAGAAAGGAGGAACCATGAATACATGCTCATTTGGTCCCTCTGCTGTAGGAGGGAATTACCTGGGTCGATGATGGCCAGTGTGCACACTCTGTAGTATTTTCCACATGCTGTGCCCAATTCAATGTTGTTGCCACTGTAATGGTGGACGCCAGTCTTGGCAAGCATAGCATAGTACTCAATCTCCGATTTTCTGAAATCCAAAAACGGGGTGTTACAGTACGAACAAACAATTCTGACTGACTGCAATACAGAGAGAGCAGCTTTAACTCATATCACACTTAAACCTTACACAGGTTTCCTTAGCACCCAAAGAAACACAGTTGTTCCTTGCCAGACAAAATCATCCCTGTGTTGCAGCTCAGGTACCCTTACCCAGACTTATGTTGAAGGTATGTAATAACAAACCCCTCAGGCTGCTCCTACACATGCTTATTTCTACACAGTAGAAACACGTTTTAGGTCTTGCAGACTTCTGAGAAGCTGTAGCTGTGCCAAAATGCATAAACAAAGATCAATATTAATGCTGATATGCAGTGGCCAGACACTGAACAGAGATACAGCTGCTGCTAGCTGAGAAAGTAACTGCATATTGTAATTTAAAACAAGAAGTCCACTTATATTCCACTCTCTTCTGGCTTCCACCAGGAGAGTCTAGCAGTCAATACTGTTTCTCAAGCACTTTTGGAATCCCCACTAACACTGGGGATTGCTGCCTACTGGAACTGCTGCCATTTCTCAAGCGTCAAATTTCTCATTTCCACATCTGCATTTTCTTGAGTCTGTTAATATCCCTTGACAATAAAAAGGGATATTCCACAAGGGATATTCCACAAGTGTGAGGAAGTTAGTGAAGATTTCATTCTCAAAAAAGCAACTCACTCACCAGGAACCCTAATTTATAACTAACTTGGACAGCAGATTTTGTATGCTTCAAATATTTTAAATCAATTATCGGTTTTTCTAGCTGTAAAATTATTTTCCAATACACTACTTTGAAAAAGCCAGGAATTCAGCCCCAATACACTCTCAGTGAATGCTAACAGTGTGAAAAGCCTCCTGTACTAGCTTCTCTAGTATGAACTCCTCAGAAGAGAAACCAAAAAAAAAAACAAACAACCCACTGGGAAGCATTTCAACATATCCAGACCTGAAATCATTACACACCAAACCACCCATCACTTTTTTTTCCCATCACTCTGGAACATGCCCATGAAGTCCTCTGCATTACCCCACCGCAGCAATTAGCACACACTGCATTTGTACGAAGAACTTGTCTCAGAAAGAACTGTTTTTCCAAACGTCTGCTCACCTCAAAGCAGGACAGTTGTTGGCGAGGATGACCAACTTGGCTTTGCCCTGCCGGATCATCTTCAGAGTCTGTTTGTATCCGAGCACGTATTTGCCACTTTTCATAACCAGCTGAAGCCTTGAGTTTATGGACTCCAGGGACTTTTTCTGAAAAAGACGTAGAATACCATTACTGTGTGTTACTTTGCATTTTTCAAAATCATGGAGAACATAAGAAAACAAAGACATTTCAAATACAAGCAGAACTGAAATATAGAATAAGAAAGGCCACTCAACCCGCTGAGTGTAAGAAAGCTTGTTGATAAGAGGTTGCTGATACTACGTCTTCCCAGCTTCAGAAAGTTTTCTCATACCTAGGTATCTTACAATAAGAAAATACATCTCAAAGCACTGCTGCTGCCTACGCAAGTCAATGACATTTGTGTGTATCTGACAGGCCCTCATCAAGCTCAGCTACTCAACTCCCAAGTAAATACGACTTCTGCCTTGCAAATCTAAGTCAGGTTTGGAGTCTGTCTCTCCCTAGGGCGCACAGTGGCAGCGTGATACTGGGCAGCAAAAAGCAATCCCGTGCTGAAGCTCCCACAGGTAAGGAAAAGCATTTGCAAAGACGAGCACGGCCCCTTTTAACACAAAACACAGACTTGTTAGAGCCGCATTAAGAGAAAGGCCAGGAAATGTCAGGAAATGGAGAAGCTGAGCTCCACTCGCATTAGGAACTGCGCACCAGTTCCCCACTCCTCCATTCAGCTCAGGGCCTTGTGAGCTGCCCGGGAGGGAACCCGGACACGGGACCCGGCGGGAGGGGCCCGGGGAGCGCGGCCTGTGTCAGGAGGGCACGGCCCGAGCTCTGAGGCCCCCCCACCCCGGCACCCCCGGTCCCCAACCCAGACGTGCCGGGCTCCGCTCCCCTTCACCGGGGCGCGGCCCGTTCCGTCGGGCCGCCGCCACGTGCACCCGGCGCGGTCCCACTCCCACTCACCGTCTTCTTCGCGGCCACCATGGTGCTGCCTGGTGCGGGGTCCGGCGGTACCTGGAACACAGTGGGATGGAGGGGAGCGGTCAGCACCTGGCAGCGCACCAGCCGCGCCCCGCGCCCCCCGCCCGGCCCGGTCCCGCTCACCGCAGACGCGCCGCCAAGATGGCCGGGCCGGCAGAAAGGGCCGCTCCCGCCGCGCACCGCGCGAATACCAGCGGCAGCTCTCGCGAGAGCCGCGCACACGTTCCCCGCCCCGCCCTTCGGCCGCCAACGCGCCCCAACCCCGGGCGGGCGGGAATGGGCAGGGCATGTGGAGGGGGCGGGCCCACGAGGGGCGGGTGGGGCGGGGCCACGAGGGGTGGGTGGGGCGGGGCCTGGCTGGGGGCGGGGCCGGCTCCTGTGGGCGCGCGGGTCTGCGTTCGTCCCCTGCCTTTCACCATCCGCACCCCTCCCCGTTCCACAGAGCGGCCCCAAGGGCCCCTTTACCGTCACAGCCTCCTGGGGGCTTCGGACGCTGATGAGGGAAGCCCCTCGCAGGAAGAGTCCCAGGGGCCCGAGCTTTCCATCATAGAATCACGGAGTCATAGAATGGCCTGGGTTGGAGGGGACCTCAAAGATCATCTCGTTCCAACTCCTCTGCCATGGGCAGGGACACCTTGCACTAGACAAAGTTGCTCAGAGCTCCACCCAGCCTGGGCTTGAGCACTTCCAGGAATGGAACATCCACAGCTGCTCCCGATGCACCTATTCAAAAGGTTCCTATTCAAAAGGTGCTTGTTTGACCCTTTCAGGGAATATATTTAAAGGCACACTCCTTCAGAACTGTGTGCAGTGTTATGCAGCTTGTTACCTCACCTGGATGTTGGCCTACAGAGAGCGTAGTCAGGCACCACAGAGCAGCATCCTGCCAGCCTGGCCTGTGCAAACTCTTGAAAATATTTTCAGTAGTATCTTGCCATTTGAGTACAATAACTTAACTTTCAACTAGCCTGTAGAAACAGATAATTAGCACATTCTACAGTATAATATTTTAACATGAAATCAAGGCAAGTTGTGGAGCAAAGATTTCTCTAAAGACTACACAAGTCTGAAAATGAAAAAGTCAGAAAAGGAACGCAACCTGTTCCAGTGCCTCACCACCCCCACGGTAAAGAGGGTATCTGGTATAATCCTACTCTCTTTCTGTTTGAAGCCATTCACCCTTGTTCTGCCCACTTGTAAAAAGTCCCTCTCCATCTCTCTTGTGGGCTCCCTTCAGGCACTGGAAGGCCATAATTAGGTCACACCTAAGCCTTCTCTTCTCCAGGCTGAACAATCCCAATTCTCATAGGAGAGGTACTCCATTCCTCTAATGACCTTGGTGGCCTCCTCTGGACTTGCTCCAAAATGTCGCTGTCCATCCTGTGCTGGATGCAGTACTCCTGGTGGGGTCTCATGAGAACAGAGTAGACAATCCCCTTGGGGACTGTCACTTCTGACAGAGAGTTGATGTGGAAACTTATGGGATGGAGAAAATAAATCTCTCGAGTATCACAAGGCAGTGGCTCAGGGGACACACATGGTGGTCTGACTCCGTGTCCCTGCTGTAAGTGCTGAGCATTGCCTCGGTAAAGCAACACCGCCTGCCTTCTGCCAGGCCTGGCAGACCCTACCTGCCCCTAGTTCTGCAGTAATCAGCAGCCTGTCCCGATGGGATACACCCCTGGGCTGCGCAGTCACGTGGGTTTCAAGCATGGCAAGCCACTAAGCTCAGGTTCAGCACTGGGCACCCTCAGTGTACCTCCGGGGTTTGCCGGGGCGATGAGTCTGCTCTCCCACCGACTGTGCAGTGTTCTTTGCCCACACTGAGCAGCTCAGTCCTTGGCTGTGCTGGAGTCACAGTGCAGGGAAACCTCCTCCTGCCCCTGTGCC